AGAGAGAGAGAGAGAGAGAGAGAGAGAGAGAGAGAGAGAGAGAGAGAAATTGTTTATATGTATGTGTTGAGTTGCTGTTATGCTTTTCTCGTTTTAACGCTGCTCTTCATACGAATATATTCCATTCTATGCTGTGTAAAAATGTGCCGCACTATACACATAAGTATAGCATGTCAAAGCATAGCACTGAATTGAAGTAAATCCAAAAGATGCGACGACGACGATGATGATGATGAGGAGAAGAGAGCATAAAAAGATCCGAGTATCTCTTATTTTGGCTTTATTTTCCATTTTATGCGATGGCTATATGTGAAGATTTGTATGCCGTTGGTGACTCGTGAAAAGCGAGAAAATGTCTTTTGATGAATACGATAGTCGTATTTTATGAGCAATCCCTTAGAGTTTTGCTGCCAAATTCAACACAATCATCACCCATGCAACGTATGAAAATGTGCCCAATGACCCAACTGTCGAATCGAGAAAATGCAATGCACAAAATTGATTTCGATTATTGAACCAATCGCTTAAATGGTAACATCGGTACCATCAGAATTCGGTTGTGTGCAGCAGGGCAAAAAGAAAGCAAAGAAGCAAAAGAAAAAAAAATTAAAAATCATCGTCCTTAAGTGAACGTTTAGTATGAAATTGACTTATTAGGAAGCCAAGTACTCAAGTCTTTTCATTTATTTTCCGTGCCGTAAATAGTGCATGCTATATGGAGAAAATTCTGTAAGACGAAATCTATGCATGCCCTTAGCACTGAATCAAAATCGTGTAATACTTTATGCTCAAGCTCTTCACTGCAATGGAAAGACGACGATCCATATCCATAGCTCATTTTGTGTTGAATATAGATATCGTAACGCTATTGCCACTGTTATTTTGCTGGAGCGCTGGTCGTGTGAATCAATCTGTTTGTAGTGCCATTATTGCTGACTGAGTTGAATAGTTGGTTTTTTTTTCTTCTTCTTCTGTAAAATGTGAGTACAAAGTAGTGCATAGAGAAGAACAACAAGAAGACGAAGTAGCAGCATAAAAAAACCCAAATAGAACAATAACTATGACCATCGTATAGGCTGTGGACCAAAAGTGGGAAAAGGCGATCCACATTTGATGATGGAAATTTAAGTTTTATGAAAATGGTTTCACAATTTGCTTGCTTACTTAGCCATTTGTTTGGTTCACTTCGTACGGAGGCGCACAATACATTTATAGTCATACAAACACATCCATACAGGGCACATACTAACAAATACACATGTGAGAATGGCGCGCATATACTATTCAAGAACATATTCATGAGAGTGAATGTAAACAATTCGAGCATACACAGATTGATATGTGTGCAAATGTAAGTATGCAGCGTCGCCCTGTGTGCGTATATATCTGTTCTTTACTTCAGCCGTTTGCATGATTGCTATCATACACGTATTTACGCGGATGATGATATTCAATGTTCCCTGTGCAAGTTAATATCTCAAACATTATATTCGCTTTTACGTGTACACAGACACACAGGGCCAATGGCAATATTTGCCCATACATTTTGGCTTAAAACATAGTACACATCGTTTCATATTTATCGGATTCGGTTTTGGATTTACGTTTGCATCAGAATAATTTGAACGATGATGCTTTGATAGCCCCCACCAAAAAAAGTACGGTTGTTATTGTATGTTCCATGTTTTTCCGAAA